TAGTTTCATTAAATTGAAAACAAAAATTCAATCATTATTTATCAAATTTTCAATTAGAAAAAGAAAATATTTAATTATCATTTATATATTTTATTAAATTTTCATCTAAAATTAATATATAAAAATTAAAAAGTCCAATTATACCAACTAAAATTGAAAAAATATATATATTTTTTAAGTTATATTTAAAATTTAAATTTTAGAATTAACGTATCTTTAAACACAATAAAATGATGTGAGATGCATCTTTAAAATCTTAAAAAAATAATTTTAAAATACATGTAAACTGATATGAGACCATTCATAAAAAAAAAAATAATAAAAGGGGAAAAAAAACTTATCTTTCTTCTATAGAGATTCTACTCACGAACGAATGTATATTCTATTCTAGTGTTTCGTTAGATTTTTTGTCTTTTTTTTTTTTTTTTCTTCTTCTAGTATAACTTCGCAAGCTCAAGGGGCAAGGATTTTTGGCGCGCGCACCTTACCCAAGATAATACGCGAATGTCATGTGCGATTGTGTTGTGCACGGTAAGATAAAAAGTTTGACTGAACCAAACAAAAATAAGAGTAAGCAAATCACCTAAATCTATCTAAAATATAGTGGTAGAGATGGATCTATCTCTAAACAAAAAATAAAGATAAATTTACCTATAAAATTTTTAATTTGGACAAATCACTTCAAATTTAACGTATAACGTCATTTGATATCAATAATTTATTAATTTGTTATGTCGCTAATAATAAATTGTTAATGTCAGATGGTGTTAAATTAACGAATTACCGACATCAAATGATGTTACATGTTAAATTTCAAATAATTTATCCAAATCAAAAATTTTGTGAGTAAATTTATTCTTATTTTTTTTTAGGTGTAAATCTGTTCCTACCATTATACTTTGCGGGTGACTTTAGTTATTATGTCATAAAAGTACATATGAATTTAGAAAGATGTATGCCGTCTGACTGAACATGTTTTTATTTTTTTGGGTAAATTTTGGCTGAACGTGTTATTAAAAGTAGGGGATGGGATAACAGCCGACAACCCAAATTTACTTGATTGTTAGTGCTTTTCTTTTCAATTTAAAGTTAGAGAGTCTTCCATGTGGTGGTTATTGCTTTCTTCGACGACACTTGTGATGCAAATATATATTCTTCTTAAACATAGTACTAAAATATAATGTGTAGAGTAATTAATTAGTTAGTAAAAAATTTGGAACTATGTTTTCAATATATAAAAGAGTCGAAATTTTTATTAGTATTTTATATTAATAGCAAAGTATTTTACAGAAACACCATTATTTTCTAAACAGCAAACAATAGAAAACCAACATCTCTTAGCATGGTTATAGAAAGGATAACTAAGTTTATTACAGATTTAATAGATAGTATCTTGCATTATACTAAAAAGAAATGTTATTTTTCAGTTTGTATTACATTTAAAAACATTAATTTATAATGAAAATTGGCAAAAATATTATTGATAATATTTTTGATTTCTCCCAATCCTCAATTAATGTTTTTAAGTGTAGAGCAACCATGAAAAAAACATTCTTTATTCTCTAAAAAGACACTCAACTAGGAAATACTTAAAAGCAAGTATAAGAATATGAACAACCACTTTCTCAATTTCAGTCTTTAAATACGTAGGACGACGGAGCTCCCGGGCTGTAATGATCAACTTCTTTGTGAAGGCTGATCCTGCTACCAGCTTCTCCAATGCCTAATGTTTCCACAAAATGATCCCATTCTTCAACATGGAGATGGTACTGACCATCGGACGATTTTCTGTAACAGCTCCATGTTCTACTACTCTGATTATCTGTAACCTCGAACGCCCCAGTTGGAAGTTTATCAAATTCTGGACCCCGAAGCCTCAATTTTCTTCCCTCAATCTCATTTTTCTCGACGGTCTTGCTAAAGATCTCCACCATTGCTACTGTTGGCTACGTACAAATGCTTTGAATTTGAGAACTTGATGAGTGCGGATTCTTTTGGATACCCTGCATGTGTATTTATAACAGCGAGGTCACATGTATGGATAATTCTATTAAGCATTGTCTTCATATGCATGTGGGTTGGCTTTACCAAATAATGGGTGGATATCGATTGTCATTTTCAAAACATGGTTGCGGTGAGTTTCTTGCGACCCAAACGTTGCAAAAGTCTAGACGTGCGTGTTGATGGAGATCACTCTCAAAATTCCAATATTTTAAAATTAAGGTAGTAGGTATACATAAAATGATCGATGTACGTGGAGATAGATTAATCAACCTGTTCTAACTGCTGGCATCCGCGCTATCTTGCGCGAACAATTTTTAATTGATTTCATTAGCTTGAGTTGTTAATTACTATGGTACGTGTATATAGTTAGGATTTGATTTTGCTTTTGTAAGGTTCAAACTTATGATTAATTATGGCATTTTTAGCGTATTAATTTATGTTTGAAGCTCAAGTCCCCGAGGTCGTTGGTGGACCATTAGCTGACCGAAAAGTCAAATATTCTCTTTACAATTAAACTCTTCTTCTTTTTTTTTTTTTTTTTGGCCGGTTCAACTTCTCTTTCGCCAACTTATATACGATATTTAACTTTTATAAAAAATTATTAGAAGTTGATTCTTTAATCTAATGGTTCAACAGATATTATTGAAGAATTGTGAATTTTTACCTCGATTAATAGTAAAAGATAAGTGGAGGAATGTTTATAAAAGAAGGTAAATATATATTATTAATAAATTAACATACATAATAATTTATTTAACGCATTTAAATAATTTTATAAGTATTTATTTATCTTTTAGTAGGTTAACTTGAAAAATACTTTTTTTATTATTTATATAGAATATATTATAAATATTATTTAAAGAGCAGTGGTATAAAGGATAAAAATTGAAGACCAATAGTATAGTATTAGTTATGTTTTTAAATATATTGATGTATATAATTTCACGTGTCTTAATAAAATAAAAATAGTTAATAATTAAATAATATAAAATTTATTTTTTAATATTTTAAATAACATTACCTATATCATATCATTGATCTTAAATTTTAATTTCATAAAATTTATCTCTTTTGTCATTATTTTTATTTAAATTACTAGATATTAATTTTTAAATTCAATAGTTAAAATGATAGTATATTGTACTTACCTGTGTTTTACATTAAAAAAAAAAAAAAGCACTTTTCAATTTAAAAAGAAGAACTTGAACGGCTCGACTTATCTTTAACTAATCTGGACAGTTTAGTTTATGCTTTGACATAAAAATTAACTAATATGACATTTAGCTTATGTTTTGATAGAATAAATTTCAAAAAATTATTTTACAATATAAAGTATTTCGATGGTAAAACAGCGAATTTGAATTAATTAATACATAGAAGTTGAAGTTATCTTTTCTATCATTCCACGTGGAGAGTTAAGTGCAGCGCACAACTGTCGATTGACGGTTCAAGGTGTTTTCATACGGTACAGAACTAGCATTCGGGCGCGCGATGCATGATATGCAAAACGATGAAGTCATTTTCATGACGTGGGTACATGTCGGCGATCTGTCCCAATATTTTTGGATGAAAGATATGCCGTTTGCAAATCGGACATCAATTGCGGCGCTTGTTCGACTACTGGTCAGCAACGCACCAACCATTCGCAACACAACATAAAAGTTTTTTGAAAAACGTAGAAGCTACAGTTAGTCCAACTGCCCAGGTACAAATTTTTTTCATTACTTTTATGGATTAGATTCATCTTCATTA